TCACGGATGGCTACCTTACGCACTTTGGTCTTGGCTCTAAGGCGTGCAGGGTTGAAGAGTTTACCATCAGAACGAGATCGTATCAGGATACCTTCTTCAGAGGACTTGAAAGCATGATTCAGTAAAACTGAAAAGAAGATGTTGAAGAGAGTTGGGGCTAGCACACATCCTTGTTTTACGCCGCTGTTTATATCGAATGCCTCAGACCTGTTTCCATCATACTGCATTGAACCCCGAGATCCATCATGGAAAGATTTGATGAGGCTCAGGAGTTTAGGAGGACAGCCAAGTAAGGGCAGAATCTTGAAAAGGCCGTCTCTACTAACAAGGTCAAACGCCTTTCTCAAGTCAATGAATGCAATGTAGAGTGGCTGTTGTTGCTCTTTGCACTTCTCTTGGAATTGTCTCAAAGAGAAAATCATATCCACACTCGACCGATTAGGGCGGAAACCACACTGGGATTCAGGGTACACCCTTTCAGCAATCTTTTGAAGGTGGTATAATGCTACTCGGGCAGACAGCTTTCCAGCAATGCACAGAAGTGAGATGCCACGGTAATTGTTACGATCACTGCGGTCTCCTTTGTTCTTGTATAGGGTTGAGATAATAGAATCCCTCATCTCCTGTGGAACGTATCCTTCTTCCCAGCATTTGCAGAGTAGCTGGTGGCGATTGTCGAGCAATTGGTCGATCTACCATAGAGCTCGCTATAGTATTCCACCCAGCCCTCCATCAGCCTTGATTTATCAGTGATGATTTCACCAGTTGATGTTTTGAGTGGTGAGGACTGGGACTGTGTAGGTCCAATCGCCTTCTTGATACCCTCAAACATGCCCCTAGAATTTCCAGTGTCAGCAGCTAACTGGATTTCAGCACAGAGATTCATCCAAAAGTTGTTAGCACAGATCTTACATTTTTCATTCGCACGACGCCTGGTCTCCCGAAGTGCTTCCAAAGAGCTGGGTGATGGATTACGATGGCGGTTCTGCAGGGCATTCCTCTTTGCTTCGATGACCGGCTGAAGAGTCGCGATGTTTGCATTGAACCAATCCTGGCTTTTGCGTACATTCTTGCCAAAGGCCTTTAATGCTGCAGCAAGGGTAGTGTCCTTGATATGGCTCCAGTGGTCCTCTGTGTTAAGTTCCAGGCAGTCTCCGAGTTTCGAGCTCAGGATGTCGTTGAATATAGAGACATTTTCAGGGATGGCGGTGGCAGAAGCATTAATGCGAAGTGTAGCAGATTGTTTGACACGATGGAACTTCTTTGGACGTAACTGGATCTTCGTGCAGACAAGGGAGTGATCAGTGTCACAATCAGCACTGTGGTATGCCCTTGTAGTACGAATGTTATTAAGGTGTTCCCGTCTTGAGATGATGAGGTCGAGTTGGTGCCAGTTTTTAGATCTGGGGTTGTACGT